AAGGGACAGGATGGGGCGCACTCAGGGAGGGCAAATGGGGTTCCGGCGTGCTGCCTGGGGTTTCCCTTCCCACCCTCGACCGACATGCAAAGGCCCGCTTTGGCCCTCTGGGCAGCACACATGTGCCGTTGTAACTGGTGCATCTGCAGAACCCCGAATCCCTGGGCCAAAACAGTGCACCGTCCCCAAGGACAGCAGAGGGCTGCCCACACCGCATGGCGAGCGGGCCGCGATGTGCCCGACGCTGTACCGCGTGGCTTAGCTTCCCCAGGCTCGCACAGCACCAGGCTCTTAGCCTAGGGGACAGCAGAGGGCAGCTCTGAGTCGAGGCTGGATGGGCAGGATCGGAGGAGGGACCCGGGGGCCCGGCCGCCTGGGGCTGCCCCTGGGGAGAGAAGGGTGTGCTAGGAGCGGGTTAATTCTGACTACATGGAGAGGGGCGGGTGGGTGCGTTTCGTGGCTTCTTCAGTGATGACCAGCGTGAGCCTCCAGTGCCGGAGAAGGTGGGTCCGCAGGGCCGGTGGGGACCAGCCCAGTGCTGCTCTAGGGCACACAGTTCTGCGGGCTTCCCACAGGTTCTTGTATGGGGCCAACTCCTGCAGAGTAGGGACCAGCCGCAGGCTACATGGCATCCTGGTATCCTTGAGTGCTAAAGGTCAGACCAACAGGAGATTAATGATGGCCTCTGAACAAACCCCGCCTTCCAGCCTCCCATCCCATTTCAACTGTGCCTGCGGGAGCAGAGCCAGGGAGAGTCACTGAAGTCTGAGCCTCCCTGAGCTGCTCACAGAGCCCAGCTCTCTGGGGGGGTGGCTCTGCCCTCCCTCCCTTCACTGGAGTTGGGGGTGCTGTGTCCACTCCGGGCCCCCAGGAGTTACAGTGGAACAGAAGGCCACCAGATCTATTTGCGGTTGTGTACTAGACAGAGAGCATCACTCTGCCCTTTGATTGAGAGGCATTAGGGAGTGAATTGTCCCTGGGGGATGGGCAATAATGAACGACTCCACTTTCCGGCTGAGGAGGAGAAGCAGCCCAGCAAACCAGCCCCTTCCAGCCCCCAGGTGACCGCTGGGCAGGCTCCTCTGAGCAGCAGCGGTCAATCCTCAGCGTCCCAGGTCCTGAGTCAACCCTTTAGCGGCTGCCCCCGCTGCATCCCCGCCCTCTGGTCAGGCGCCCAGACATCTTCCCCAGGCTCTCCCCACAGGCCACGTGTGGGCGGGTGGGCACGGTGCACCCCCCCACCCCCACCGGGCCCTGCAGCCGCACTGTCTGTCACCCTCCCGGGGAAAGCCACCGCCAGGATGAGCACTGTCAAGAACACGTGTTCGTGGTCCCCAGAAAAAGGACTGGCAGGAAAAGTGCTCCACCTCTTTGCTCCCTGGAATTCTATCTGTATTTCAAAATTCCTGCCGAAGCCCACAGTCTAAGGCATTGCATTATTTAAAACTCAAATGAATTTCAACCAGAACCTGAATGTGCACGTTATAAGCGGAGGCCAGTCCTCAGATCTTCCCCTGGTTCCCAGGAGACCAGGCCTGGAGGTCCGGTGGGAGGAGTGCTGGGCAGAATCCGAGGGGCACTAGGGTGGGCTCCCTCAGGCCTGTGCTCACACAGCCACGTGGCCAGCTGCCAGTGGGACTGCAGGTGGTGACAGTCACCCCAAGGGTCTCAGTCCCCTCACTGCTAAAACAAGGGGCCAGACCTGTTGACCTTTGCTCTCTGTCCAGCTTAGAAGATCAGTGGTTTGATGGGTGGATATTAGCAATGTGACTGCACTAGACCTACATTTGATACAGTCTGAGTGTGCGCACGTGAGTGTGCATGTGCGTGTGTGTGTGTGCGTGTGTAGGGCACTCAAAGTCAAAACTGATTTTTACTATCTCGGGGTGTGGAAGGTTTTTGAAAATATGACCCCAAACCCAGAAACATGAAAGAGAAGATTCATGAATCCAGCTTCATCAGAATCTCCTGGATAGAAAAAAGCCTGTAAAATAGTCAAGACAAAGGATGAACTGAAAGGCACGCCACATCAAAGGGCTCATTTCTTTACTAAAGAAGAGTGCCTCCAACCAAAAAGGAAAAGATCAATAAGCAGAGAAATAAGCAAGATCTATAGATACTAATGGCCAGTAAACATGTAAAATGTGCCCAAACCTGTAAGAGGAGCAAACTTCAGCAACGAGACACAGCTTGTCTTTCTCTGTAACACTACTGGCAAGGCATCTGGCACTCCTCTGATGGGCGTGCACGTTGGTTAAACCTCTCTGCATGGCAATTGGACAATCCCTGTCAAGTCTGAAACTCCCATTCCCTTTGACTTGGGAATTACCCTCCCAGGAACTTACCCAACAAACAGCTTGGTGAATGGGTATGTGTGCGGGTTAATCACCGGGGCATGGTCAGAGCAAGGGACTGGAAACCAGCTGCTGACAGGAGAATCAATGAACTAGGTCGTCACGGGGCCACAATAGAGTAGGACGATGCAGCTGCTCAGGGGTACGGCAGCTCTCTACTTGCTGCTGTGTGTCTCTAATTCACACTGGTAAGTGCAAGGAGAGCAAAATGCGGAACGGCCCGCAGAGTCTGCCAGCATCTGCACTCCTTGTGCAATACTTGTGGATGTCTCTGGAAGGATGCCCGTGAAACTTGTCACTGCGCTTGTCTCCAGAGAGGAGATGGGGTGTCTGAAGGGACAGGGATTGGAAGAGGATGCCTTGTGTCGCCAGGTCCAGGTATGGCTGTGCA